CTGAGCTATCTTACTTCGGGCGCAATATTTTCTTGCCAGACGACGATGATCGAGAAAAATATAAACACGAGATTTCCAACTACCGTTTGGGCTAATTTGGGCCGAAGAGAATTCTGATCCCTGCAGTGGCGGGAAGGGAAGATCGACGCTGGTCGGCATACCACTGGCTTCAATTGAATATTCATTTAAAAGAATTAAATGTTTAACCACTAATTACATAAGACAGTTGGGCGGGGGATAGATATTTCGATGGTCCAACAAGGTAGTATTACCTGTAAAAAAGTTTGGATCCTTGAAAGTGATATTCTAATGAGATTAATTTATCAAGGCCCTGAAATTTAACGTAATCAGAGTCCTAATCCAATCCCAGGCTCCCAATAATTTTGGAACAGGCGGAATTCCTATGCAAGCCCTTACAGAATTTGATGTAAATACTGGGATATTTGACATCCGGGGAAATTTTAGTGACCCACTCATATGCTTCCCTGCTACTACTCGAAATTTCCGCTTGAAACGGATTCAGACTTTCAGAAATGTGCGTTCTCTCTTCTTATGCCCAGCGGTTTGCGTCCATTTGTCGCGTTTCTGCTCAACTGAACACTTTTCACTGTAAACCTGCTTTCGCCTGTAGAATCGCGGAGGTCCCGGTGGGATTGACATGAATGTCCGTTCTGTGTGGGCCCGCGGCTACGCTGGACAAGGCGTAGTTGTCACGATTCTCGATGACGGACTCGAGACGGATCATCCCGATCTCAGCCCAAACTATGTGAGTCTTTCCGTCTTCTCATTCTCATTCTCCTCCTCTTCTTACTTCTCTTAACCTTTTTTTAAAAAAAACTGCCGTCTAACCTAGTCTGTCGAAGGCTTGCCTGCGTTTGCTGATGTTTTTAAACCACAGTTGAGGCTTGCTTCAACTTAACGGATTACTTCATTGGCCAGTAAAACTGATATAAACTGCACGCCAGCCAGCCCTGATGTCCCAGAAAGTAACGGACTTCTGCCCGGGGGGGGGAGGTTTTTTAGCCGATATTTTATGCCCGCGAGGCGGCCATTTGATGGCAAAAGGGAAGTTTCAGTTTAAATAAATCAAAACCGGTTTTAAAACGCGAACTGTCGGTTATGGCATCTTAAGCCACGCTTTCAACCCCTAAAAGACCAACAAAGGTAGTAGAGCGTTCACGGAATTCTTAAAAAAGAACGGGAGCAGCTTATAGCTCACCACTTTTTTCCAAAAATCGCAAATCTGCCGATTTTCAGCTTAAAATATGTCCAGATTTCGAGGTTAGGCAGTGCGCAATGAACTCGAAGGTTTGACAGGTTTATCAGTTGCGGCTAACGGCAGTCAAAGCGTGAGAAATCAGCAATTTAAGCTCCAAGGCGAATATTTATATAGTTTTAGCCGTCTTCCTTAAAGTAGCTGTTTAATGAAACGGTTCAAACGAATAGCATGAATTTAAGAAGCAACAAACGTTCACCCATTTCAACCGGTCATTACCATTGTCTCTGTAATGCATGTGTTATGCAATTCCTATTATTTAAAAAGATTTCCTCTAACGTGCATCTAGACAGACGAACATGCGAATTCACATGTTAGGCAATCAAAAAAAAGAGTAAATGGCAGAATTTCACCAAGAAATTTGCAATACGGCGTAGGCTCCCTATAAGGTAGGTGGCACGATGGCGCATGATCAGGGTTAACAAAAGACTATGCTTGGGTTAAATAATTTTATGATTCTTAAAGTCGATTTTTTAAGCATTAAATGTTTCAATAATTCCTCGAGAAAATGAAAATCTCTTCCCATCTTCGAAGAAGCGGACTTAAATGCCTTGGACAGTTTGGATCTCATACTTTTAGCATCCACTGTTTTCATTGAGTTGAATTGTACAGCAACTTATTGATATTGTTCACTCAGGTAGGCTATGACATTGACATGGTGAATGTCACAATAATATAGAACCGAGTGATGGCGTATCCTGACTATTCTCCCAATAAAAGGTATCCTCTAGGGATTTACTGCTACAAATAGCTACAGTTGGTTCAGCCTTACTAAAGTTACTATCTTATTTGTTTCTTGTCCGTATAACAAAAACTGCAAACGCACATGACTCTACTGAGAAGCATCAGCAGCCTTATCCATCACGCAAGTAGCATAATTTGGACAAATAAAATGAATTTACTAACAATTTACTTTTACACTGTGTGCTTCGGGCTCGGAGGCCAGATTGGCGCTGACTGGCCTGCTTTCAATTAGAGCTTTTGTGTGCACCTGTCGAAAGTTCGGAGGAGTTATCAGCCCAAAATTCCATTCGGTGCACCTGTTAACACAGGACAGCCTCCGCACCCCATCTCTGCGCGGACTGAAAGGCTTCCGTTCAAGCTAAACTTTTCTCTGGTAGATTTTAATGTAAGATAACCTCTCTTTTTGCGAGACTGGGTAACCGTAGGACGTGTATTTTTTTCAACTTAAAAATCTAGGGCATTGTGTTACCACACGCCCAGTACATAGTGGCTGACCTTTCTCAGAAACCTTAGACAAAAGTCTAAAATGCATTTTCATCAGGACACCGGCCTCCCAAAGCAATCCCATACGGGGCTGCCTGCGAAGGCCGCACTCGGTAGCTAAAGGCTACTTAATTAGCATAAGGATTTTGTTCCTTCGAGTTCGATGCCCGTAAAAATTCGAATATGTATTTTTGTAGAAAAGTGGTTGAATTAATTCCTTCTGAGGAACTGTTTTGGTAGCAACTCACGTCATTTTCAGAGTTGCTGTTCGAAAAACGTTATATTTAGATTTTTTCAAGATATTTCCATTCCCGAATAATGCTGAGAGCCATCTGTTTGCAGTCAACCGGCTGTGTACTATCCATGCAAGAATGATCGTTAATTCCCCGAGGAATTTAAGACGATAACATATACGGTTCATAAAAGTTTCCGGTGGAATCCTAGTTTAGGTCTCAGATCAGCACGCGAAAGCTCCATCCTTCTTTAGCACAGAACCTGGCGAAATAAACGGTACACAGTACGGGCAATACAAAGGAAAGGAAGTATATTTAAAATTTTCCATAACTGGGTCAATTAGAAATAGACTGTTATTTTTTTAACTTTCAAGCACGGATCATACCTTAGGCTATGACCTCAAAATGCATAGTTTTGCCATGCTTGAAACATGAAATCTGAACTGGTTGGTCATCATCAGTAATATTTCTTATCTCGAATCCGAAAGGTCGGCTTGAACGGCGGTTTGCTCTTCGTTTTCCTTATGTGAAATTTTGGGTCTCCAACTTGGGAAATTTAGTCTGCTGAAACACTGCTAATTATGTGAGAAGGAAAAGTAGGCGAAGGGATAATTTTCCATAAACTCATATGAAGAACCATTAGTTAGAAACGTTTTCTTTTTCAGGGAACAACATACTATTCTTGTGAGGTCCGCATTATGTAAACAGCTACGCTTTTTATAAGCCAGAGGCGTACTTTGCCTTAAAAACCCAGCACATGTCAGTGGGTGACTTTTTGTGAAATTGTCTGCTGTACTAAGTGCACAAATAAGTACATTAAAAAAAACAATTTTCTGATTTTTTCCTGCAACGGGTAACGACAGAAATGTTTTGTTTTGTTTAAAATATGTGAATTCGTATATACTGCCCTAAGAGAATGTCTTTAAGGCGTCAAAATTGAAATTTGAACTAGCTAAAGAAACACCTATTGTGGGTAGAGATTAAAGTCGAATTAGAGTAGAATATAATGTCAGTAAAGTTGTCAATTGCAAAAGAGGGAACGTGAAGGAAGCGTTTGATTTGCAGATCCTCTAGCTTGGTAATTTGACTGGGAAGTGCAGGGCTGTATAGAGAGGATCAGATTGCCGTTAATGCCTCAACAAACACTGCTACACGCAGAACAGGCAAAAACTGTTAAAATAAATGGTCGTAATTTGGGTTTTGTTCAGGGCCTGCCGAATTTTCCATTGTGTCAACGTCGAAATTGTCCAGGGGTCGGTAACAGCCCAGGTTCGCCCTAATGGGCCATTCTCTGTCTGCAAAAAAGGTGATCGGCCATTCCTTTTGATTAATAGCACCGAGCGTAGACCTCAATTAGGACCAGTTGTTTCGGTTATCACAAATATTCAATTGGCAAGAAGGCTTGCCAAAATTGTTGACGTTTGAAAAAAACGATCTCGTGATCACCTCGCTTCTTGAAATGAAAATCATTAGTTTAGTCGTCTTTCCGAGAGATTCTTTTAACTTTCTCTGGAGATTGATCACACATGCAGACGATATCATTACGGACTTTATGTTTGGTAAATAAAACTCTCTTGATAGAACAAAGCTGACACAGAGGAGCAGTGAAAGCCTACAAGTGGTGAAATATTGGTGTGCAGGAGAAAGTTTTAATGCATGCAATTTCTGCAGAATTTATTATAAACAACAATTTCGTGATTGCTCATCACAGCTGCTACCTGTCGCCGCATAAAATTTATAATAAATGAGAGATTACCTGTTAATAATAGCTGAAAGCTTCAGATATTATACTGTTTCCGAGGTCAGAAGTTATTTTTAAGGAAAGTCAAATAACTCGAATAACTGTAAATACTGCTGGCCCTTCGTGTTGCAGTGCTACGTTTTGTCACCTGAATAGACGCACCCGAGGCCAGTAGCTATGTCAAAAGACAGTCGGGATATTCGGATGTTTTTTATTTGTCAACAGACAGTCAGGGTAACTCGGTGTGTGGCTCTACAGAAATAAACAGAAAGATTAATAGTGCACAATAGGTAGAAAAAAGCAAAATAGAAAACAAAGGAAGGGTGGACGTACATTCGAGGTGCTCTTAGACGAGCAGTCGTGAATGAAACAGACGAGATGCTGCTAGTTTATAGGGGTATAAGCACACTAAGCAGGAGTTAAGGAACGAGGGAGCGAATAAGGACACGGAGCGGGGAACAGAGACCGTGGGGCGGATGTAAACAGAGGCAATTCTGTGCCGGAAAGGGGGAGTGAATTACAAGCGTTTGGGGTCAGCGGTGGGGACAGCTGTAATCGAACCGAAGGGGGAGGGGGGCAATAGCAAGTAACTCTCGAAGCATTTGTCGCTTGATGCATTGGGGGGGGG